ACAGAATTCAGATGCTCATCCTCTGTACATTTTAAAAACTGGGAAAGGGAACTGAATTCTGAAGGGGAAACCTAAAAACCTGTCAGCTTTGTAAATGATTGCTGGGCTGGGGATGCAGCTCAGTGGTACAGTGCTTGTCTGGCATGCACAAGACCCTGGGTTTGATCCTCAGCCCAGAGGCAAAAAAAAGATTTTTCTAAGTAAGACTTTATGAGACAGGATCTCACTATGTAATTCAGGCTGGCATTGAACTCAGTCCTCCTGCTGCAGCCTCTCAAGTGCTAGGACTTGGCTGACTTGGCACATGCCCACACTTTTCTTATCCATAATTTTCCCTAGTTATGTTGTATGCCATGATGGCTGGATTAACTATTCCTTTCTTGTTGGCTATTTAATGTGGGGAAATGTAAATGTAACGAGTCAGCTTCCCTTACTTCCTTAGAAATACATTCATAATTTGAGTTACTTAAAATAATGTATAAATGACACTTTAAGGAATGCCTCTGTCTTTCCTTCAGGAACTTTACGTGAAAATGTTAGCCTAGCAAAACCATGCACAGTGATCAAAAGGAAGAATATTGACCGGATTTCATGCTCGGGTTTGCCACATATGAGCAGAAATAGATGTGTGCATTTGTTGACACACCTGAACACTGACTCTTTCCTCAGTGAAAATGGAGAGAGGAATCTGAAGACCACTTGGGTAGTCTCATTAATGCGGCCTTCCTCAGTAAAGTAGATGGATCATGTGGTCCCAGGACTTGGGAGCCTGACAGCCCTGGATCTGAAAAATGGTTTCCCCCTTCACAGCCCCTGACCTGAGACAAGCACCCTCCCCTCTCATAGAGTGTGTTATAGGCAACACCCTGCACCATTCTTGCAGAACAGGACGGAGGCTGAGAGGACGGGTTCTGGAACCAGACTTCCTGGGTTCAGAGTCCAGCTTTGCTGCTTAGGAGCTAGCTGGTCTTGAGCAAGTTATTTAACCTCCTTGTGTTTGTTTCTTCACCTATAAAATAGGGGTGAACACAGTGACCAACTTGATAGAGTTGATAGGAAATTTGAATCAGGGCTCACAGTGGCCTTTTAGCCATGCTGGTACATAGGTGGTGCCAGTGAATGTTGGTTGTGTCAAAAAGCTGCAGGCCCTTGATGAGTGGTGTCTATAGTTAGCGTCCTACCTGTCCTGCTCATTTGCCGATTCCTCGATTCCCCAGTTCCTCATGGGGACCCTGCTGAAGGAGGACAGCAGGGAGCCTGCCAGGGTTGCAGCTTTGCTCTGTGCCTGGGCCTTGGCCTTGAGGAAAAGGAGCCACAAGGACCATGCCTTCAGCAGTCCTCTTCTCAGTGCTCCACTGTCACAGGAGGCAGCGCTGCTTCTGGCCCCTGGCTCGTCCCCTGTCTGCCTAACTCACCCCTACTCTTAGCACTCAAGAGGCGGCAGTGACAGGCGGGCCGTGGTCACACTGCTTGACTTCTCCACTTAGAATCCCACCAGCCTGGCTTCCATGGCCTCCTCTCCCACCCCCAGAGTCCCTGTCCCTGGCCTGGACTATGATACAGCCTCCTAATCTTTCTTCCAACCACATGAAGAGCTAGAGCTCTCAGGCCAGAATGAGAGAGTTCTCCTTTTGGCTCCAGGCTGGACTCTTGGACTTCCTTTCTGCAAAGCTCAGCAGAGTGAGCTTGTGCAGAGCCACCCCAGGTGTGTGCTGCTTGTCCAGCAGGCGTAGATAGGCCTCTGAGAAACTGAGACTCACGTAGGTGTAGGTTGGTCTGGAGGAAAGTGAGATTATTTCATGTACAAAGGATTCTTCCCATCAGGAAAGATTCCCCTACAGGTTCTTTTAAATAGTGACTCCTCGAGGCAGTTGAGTGTTTTACAGATCATTAACTACTTGACTGAAAGCCTGTGGGACAGAGAAACTTAAAACTGAAGTGTTGGAAGCCCCTGCCAATTACAGATCAATCCAAAATGAAGATAAAGTGTCACTAGAACTAGAAGTCAGTGGAAAAATGTGATTTGATTGGGGGAAAAAATGCGATTTACATGTGTTTTTTGTGGAACACACCAGCTGCTTAAACAGTGTTGTACCTATCTGCTCACTTCAACCTACTGCATCCATCTCCCACATCTCCATTCCCAGGTCCCAGTCTCGGGGTTCCCCTCAGTGAACAGTGGCTGTGCAGTCACCCCAGGAAAGGGCGTCATTGGGAAATTGTTCTTGGGGCCTTGCTGATGCAGAGATACAGCCTGTAATGGATGAACTATACAGTAACAATTTGCAGATAAAAATAATAGAAGTTAAAGTGTACTTTACATGATAAAAGAAAGATGAAAGAGGACGTGAGTCTGTTACATCTGAGATGGTTACAAAAGTCCTGCTTTGTGAAGTGGGCTTTGTTGAAAAGATTGATGCCATGGGGAGTGACCTTGGCTTGGCGCGGGAGCTGGTGATGTATGTATGAGCAACCCTCTGCTAAATGGACCCAGATTTGTAGCACTAATATACATGGGAGCCCAGAACCAAACTCAGTACGGCAATAAATCAACAGCCACTTTGGGTGTCATTTCTGGTTTATATTCCACTATTGTTCTATCACTTTAATTCATGTCACTATCATCTTTTCATCTGGAACAGTTTTATATAATTTTCCAGTGGAGTTACCTGACAAATCCTATCAAATTAACAAGGTACATTAACAATATTGACTGACTACAGCTTCAGGAGTTGTAGGGCCATAGAACAAAATTTTAAACTCTCTCGATTTTTTTCTCTCTCTCTTTCAGAGAAAGAGGAATGTGGGACACAGTTTATTTCCACATAAGAGATATGCACATTTATTTTGTTCTGCTCGTTTTGACTTTTATAAATGTCAAAATAAGAAGCAGAAAAAAAAAGTAAGACGCAGAATAAAGAAGGGGAAGTGAATGTGCACACATTAACCAACAACCTCGGCTTATGTACTTTTCTTCTTTCAGAGAACTATAGCAGTGTCTAGATCTTTAACAATTAATGACCAAATTGGAGGCATAAGTGCAACTGGGTAATTGTAATCTATTTTAAGTGAAATGTAATAAAATTGGTCTCCTGATACATTCTCACCCTCCTGAAATCATCTAGACCTGAGAGTCCAGAGTCAGTTGGACTTATGACACTATGCCTAATTGAAATACGATGTTCCTAAAATTTATCTAATGACAAATCCCAGCATTCGATTAAACACACAAGTAATAAAAGTCAAAAAATAAAAATAAATTTTTTTTCTTAAAACCACAGTTGTTCGTCTTTCCCAGAGACCACAGGTGATGACCAGGGTTTAGCAGCCCTTTCTGCATTGTCTGCCCTGAAGACAGTCTGCTTACGTATGTCTATACACAGGCTTCTTTCTGCCTTTGTTTGCCTTGGATTTGGAATCCATCTACCCATAAAATAAAACAAATGAGTTCAGTATGTAGCAAACCAAATCACTAGGCTTGTGTTTATATTTTTAATTTTAAATTTACTGTTAGACCATGACTGTTGTTTGTGTCTGTTTTCTTGGAGGGGGGCATTAATTAACTGTTATTTTTATCTGCTTCTTTTGGCTTACTAAGTTTTTTTTTACATTTGTTCAAAAATTTCTAAGTGGGATCCGTGGGATGAAATATGTTAACCCTGATTACCTTTTCTATTACAGTATGTATATTTTATTATTTTAATCATTTCTTATATCTTTATTTCACTTTGCCTTTTTTTTTTTTTTAACTTTGACCCTAACCTTTAAACTATGGCCTAAAAGTAATTACCTTTAAGGTTCCATATGGGGCTCACTCCAGAAGGCATATTAGAGATTTTTGTCTCACTTCATCAACAGATTCCTCAGTTTTCAGCAGAAGAGGGAAAGTAGCACATCTGGGCTAGACGGTGTCAGGTGAGCAAGTGCTTCCCTGAAATACCAAGAGAGCATTGCTCTGCATGTCCACACCCGTCCCAGGGTCCCTCCTGTGCCTGGCGCTGCCTCTGCTCTGCAAACACCCTATTTCCAGTTACACTGCACCGTGCTGTCTTTCATGACCCTGAAAATAAAACCTGAAGGGTCGGAATTTAACATTCTGGCTTCCTGCTCTGAAGTCTTTGTTGTATAAAGCTCACACCCAGGTTTGAGTCTCCCTCAGCAGAAAAGCGAGTTCCACAGGCAAGGCTGAGCCCCAAGACTTGAATTTGAAAGGTTCTGTATAACAGAACCTGTGATCTTCCTGTGACTTTCCTTACATGTAGCTTGGATAATTATTTAGTGTCATAGAAGGGACGAGAGAGCTTTTTCTCCTATTTTTAGTATGTACAGTTTTTTCAAATCAGAAACTTCACTGGTAGCTTCACTGTTAAGGCATACATGATGTTAATCTTCCACCCCAGATCTTCTTAAGAAAAGGGGAAAAAAAACATTGGTCAAAACCAGGGGGTTTTTTTTGGTACCAGGGATCGAACTCAGGACCTTGTGCTTGTGAGGCAGGTAGCGAAACCACTGAGCTAAGTCCCCAGCCCTCAAAACTAATTTTAAATCAGTGTATTATAGTTTATTTCTTTTTTCTTTTTTTTTTTTTTGGTACCGGGGATCAAACTCGGGACCTTGCGCTTGCAAGGCAGGCAGCAGAACCACTGAGCTAAATCCCTGGCCCTGTAGTTTATTTCATTACAAAGTACAGTCGTGTAGTTACCAACATGTATCTAAATTCTCTATTGCATCAGTGTTATGTCTAAGAAATCGTGTTTCTCAGTCCTTTTCATACAGTTTTGGGTTATCCCCCCACAGCTCAGCCACTCGGGGAAGCAGCCTGTGCAGCTTTCATGTGCCACTTGGATTCTGTCAGTCCTGAGTCCCTAGCATTCCTCAGCCCTAGGGCGACCTCATGTTCGTCTAGCTTAGTGGCTATAAAGCAGCCAAATGAGCACATTGAAATCACTTACAGCTTTTACTTCTTGTGCTTCTTTTTTGTCCTCTTCTTGGCCTTACAGGTATCTCTGGAGACAAAGTCGAGATAGACCCCGTTACGAATCAGAAAGCCAGCACTAAGTTTTGGATTAAACAGAAACCCATCTCAATCGATTCTGACCTGCTCTGTGCCTGTGACCTTGCTGAAGAAAAAAGCCCCAGTGAGTAGTCCCTTTTATTTATGTCTCCTTTCTCTCTTTACCCTCTCTTCCCCTCTGCGTGCTGGGTGCCAAGAGAATATATTGCCACCGTGTCCTTTTTTCCTTGGGTCTATTTAATTCATTACCAGAAATTTCTTTTAATCAAACGGGACTGTATTATGGTGCCCAGAGCCTGACATGAGCCCCCATCCTGCTCCATCTCAATGGCAGCACAGAACCTCACTGCCCTTCCCTGGGGGCTGGGGCACCGGGGCAGATTCCTGCTGGGAATCTATACTCCGAAGAGCCTTCATTTCACTCTGTGCCCCTGTCTCCTTCCTGTATGGGGGACCTAACCCATCAGAGCTGGATCTACTTTCCTTGCACATCAGATCAAGGAAGCTGGGGGATTTCTTGTGGCATTTCTTGAGCATCCATCATGCCGGAAGTGTCAACACCCCTCAGATTATTGGCAGCTGCGTGACCTACCAGCTCATAATTAAACTTCTGCCTGGTCCTAAAGAAGAGATCACTGCTGGGTTGGCATTCCTCCACTTAAATTATCAAAGTAGATTCAGTTTGGTTGTATATTTTGGCATATTATATTTTTGCAGTTAAGTAATTGAGTATAGTATCTAGATTAATCAGTTAATTACTTTTAGGACTCTTGTCCTATCAAGGGACACAAAGTACATATATATCACATTGAAATTCGTCCATGGAAGAAAAATTTTTAAACTACAAAAGGATTTTATTAGTTATCTAGAAAAGAGAGGAATGTAAGGCATTGGTTCTTAGACTCTAAAACCTATCAGCATTACTTGTGGAATCTGTTCAAAATTCAGTTACCCAAAGCCCACCACAGTAGATTCTCATTCGGTAACTTGAGGTATAAACTGAGCATCTAATTTTTGTTAATGCTATATGTTCAGTATCCACAAAATTTGAGAGCAAGTGTTGCAAGGAATTACATATTCAGAAGGGACAATCAGAAGTGTAAAGGCCAGCAGGTGTTTATAATGTGGTTCAGGTTTCTGAGCTAACACTGATTGAAGTGGGGCCTGATGAGCTGGGGGCTCACAGGCTGGGCACATCCACAGGGCTCATTTGTGGGTGAGTGTTTCATTTGTCAAATCCAGCTATGCTGGGCTACATATTCTCCTTTCAACTCAGCCTTCAGCTTGGCAAGAAGGGAGAACATAGAGGGAAAAAGGAAGGAGTAAGGTCATCCCCACCCCTTCCCACCATCCCCATGGTCCCAGCGAGGCTCCAGCTCTGCAGGATGACCCCAGAGGAGGCCAAGGGAAAACCGCCTGCTGCTCTGGGCTGGGGTACAAGGCTGCTGGGCTGCCACTGCTTTGGGAATCATCTTCCCAACCCCACCCACTCCAGCCCATCTGCCAGTCAAGATGGCTTTGTTCTCGTGTCTTCCCAAGAACTGAGGACAGTTTGGAGAGCAGCATTTTGTAACTTCTCCCTGTCTCTGAGGAGAGAAAGGGGATTCCACGCATGTTGTGCAGAGAGAGCAGCTGGGTGGAAGGGTCAAGGAAGAACAGAGGCCCGTTTCAGGTGTCCCTCACATCCACACCAGCTGTCCACTGTGTCACAGAAAGCTGCAGCTGAGGTACTGGGAGGTGTGGATGCAACACACCCAGCCAGCCACCACTCACCGCCCCCCATGGGATCAGTCAGTCAAGAAGTAGCTATTACACTTGTGTTTGGGAGGCCACATTCCCAGTGTTGAGGGTACAGAGCAGACACAGGCCCTGCTATGTCAGTGCTGACAGCCTCTTAGGAGTCTTTTGTCTTACTTTCAGATGTACCAGTGGTTCAGTATAAAAACTGTGCACATGGGTCTTACAGAGGTTTTCTTTTCTCTCCCTCTGGCTCCAGACATGTAGAAATTGTGACACTTTTCTGAAGGAACAGGCTCACTGCCCCATAAACATTTCCCGAGTCCCTGGTCCCTGTCTCTTCCAGCAGTGCTTTTCAAACTTCATGCCCAAGCCTGAGGGTTTGAGGGACTTGAGGGGGGTGTGTTTGTGTGTGTGTGTGTTTGTACACATGTACGTGTGTACGCACAGAAGGGCTCCCCTTCAACCAAAGGAGCTCTACTTTTTTCTATTTTGGAATTCTGCGTTTAAGTTCACAAATAAAAGGATTTTGCTGCTGCTTTAAAATGTGTATTTTTAAGATTTACAGGCTTATAGAATAAAAGTCTAGTTCAGATTTGGGCCAGTCACTGTGAACTGATTGCACACACTGCGCTCTCCTTCTGCTGTTCCACTGCCTGAAATACATCTTCCACCCAACCTGCCCTCTCTAACTTCTGGACATTGCTACACTCGGCCCACTCATTTCCCAAGAGCCAGCTCCAGGGCCAGGCCTTCTCTGTTCACTTTCCCCCAGGAGTTTCCAGAGTCTGTACACCCACTGTGTATCACCTGTCTGTGCTCTGCCCATCCCCACTGAACTGACTACCCGGCGCCCCTGCCCACCCTCTGTCCCTAGCACTGCATCTGCAGAGGTGGCCTCAGCTTGCTCACTTGGAACTGAACTGGACGAGCCCAGAATTTAGAAACCACCAGTTATTCAACATAATTTATGTTGTAAAGTGCCCAAACAAAGATGTGTGGAATGAATCAGATTGATGCTGTGTTTCTAGGATTTCCAGTATCCTCACCAAATTAATTCAGTGACTTAATCTAAAAAGTTCACCCTCAGGCCATCATCAGACCACAGAATTAATCTATGGGGCTGCTGCTTTTTTTCTTTCTTTCTTTTTTTTAAAGAATTAATGGTAACCCTTTTTATCTTTTGTGTCTGTTGAACCTTAGAAAAAAGTTATTTTAACAGCACTAAAGAAATGAAAGTCACTATATTTCATAAGTTTAGCCTGTGATTTTTATCAGCATGGTGATGTATGTTTGTAGCTGAGTTTACATCAAAAATTATTCTTGGGGCCTTCTTGAATGAATTATGGCAAAGAGAGAAAGTCTAGAAGTAGATAAGGTTTTTGATTTCTGCAATATATTTCCTTTTTCATGTTTTTATCTCTCGTAACACAAGTGTCTTGCTGAAGACTGGAACGTGTGACCAACTGGAATAATTTAGTTGTGAAAACAGAGCAGACGTGTTATTAAACAGCCTTCTTTACAAAAAGGCATTAAGTGTTGGGAGGATAATGAAGTTGTCCCTAGTCTTACTTGAGATGTGTTTGTCAGAATTTTGAACAGAAAAGAAATGGTTTTTAAACCCTTTGAATATGGCCAGTTTGCAGTGTTTATTGAGAAGCCTGCTGTCAAACCATTAATTTGGTCGTCATAAGGAACACAACTCAGGTTTAATTGATGCCGTATCCTAAAAGTGTTTGAATAGCTGACTTGGCAGAGGGACCAAGCATTAGAGTGCCTGCAGTGAAACACATAATTACATATATTGTGGAACCAGAGAGGCCCAGACTTCATAAATATCAGTTCTGTGGCTCTTGTTCCTTTCCCCACTGCTCCTCCCTCTTAGGCCAGGTTCTCAGCAGGAAGATTTATTGCTCTGTCCCTGTGAGTGTTTAAGGACCTGGAACTTAATGACTAGATAGATACATACCTTTTTTTAAAAAATTGTATATCTAAATATGAACTCTTAAAAGAGCTCAGAAAATCTGTGTATCATAATACCTGAGAAATTAAGAACAATTTCTGTCTTTCTAGATTTAAGGAGAAAAATATATAGCCATATTATTCAAATCAGTGATTTCTCAGTCTGTTTACCATTCCTTCAGATATCTTTTGCTATTTTGAAGGGTGTCACAAACCTCTTAAAAGATGAATCAATTTTAACTCCTTTTAACCAATTTAAGAATATGTACAGCATATACATTGGTTACATTGTGTTATAGAAATCATTTTTCGTCCTTACACAGGCCCAGACACAGGCTTTGGATGCTGTAGACTGTCCTTTGAACTGGCCTCAAATTCCAGGCTGAAACAAAAGCCAGGGCCCTTTCTGTGAAACTTGTACCCATCAGAGATGCGGGCAGTGTAAGTACCAGGCTCACCAGAGCCAGGTCCAGTCTCAGCAAGAGAAGCTGTGTGGGTTCAGAGTCTTTAAAGGAAGCAGCCTATCATTAAGAAATCAGATTTAAACCTTAATAAAGTAGCTGTCATCTTTATAGCTGAAAAGAGCACTGTATCTCAATTAAGTATAGATGATATAAAATCTTAAGGAAGCAACGTAATAGAGGTAACCTAATTACATTCTATTGCAATAGTATAATGTAAAGGAAATCTGATTCTGTTGATGGTGGTTATGTTGGAGGATTTGTTTTGTTTTGTTTTGTTTTTGTCCAAAGCACTGTTTGGACACAAAATAGGAACTCTTCGGGGTTATAAGTTAACCACCATGTGTAGACTGTTAAGCCCTAGTGAATAGGACCTACTGGATATTTGAGATGAGATTCAGTTAAGGCTATGAGTTAAATTAGCTGGGCTTATTGGTGACCTCCTGCTTAAATGAATCTTTCTTTTCATAAGTACTTGACAAGATCTGTAAAGTAGTGTATTTAATTTACTAATTAAATTAAAGCTGCTGAATAATGATTTGTCCACATTGATTTAGCTTAAATAGAAAAGATCAGCATTGTTGTGATCTTCAGCCACCTTAATGGCCAAGCCAGTTAGACACAAAGGCCTCTTGTGTTTTGTGGGTCAGAAGTACATAGGTAAGCCCAGGCTGTAATTGAATTGCCCGCACCGCACCCTGCAGTCGCAGATTTCCTTTGCTTTCCCGTTCCATTGTTGCACTGGGGCTTAAGAGAATGTTAACGTGGTAATAGGCACAGGGCCTTCCCCATTATACGTCTTGCTATCGAGCGGTTCTGCATGACTAGTTAAAGAAGATGGCAAGAAGATTAATGAAAGCCACGCTAATACAGAAGGGGGTACTTTTGCAAGACTTCTACCGAGGAGATATTAGAGCTGAACCAGAGCTTGGCTTTTTCTTTATCCTGTGACCTTTGAACCTGC